AATTTCAAGTTCGTGATCAGCTGAAACAAATAAGTTTGAGTAGAAGTTTCTTCTGCTTCTACAGATTTTTCCACTCCAGTGTACATGAAAGACTTGCCACAATCGAAAATGTGTCCGAATACTGTTATATCCGCATCGAAAAAATGGTGCAACGGTACGCAATCAATTAGTATTCTACAGAGCCTCATAGAAAGCTGTAACAAATATTTTGGGCCACTATAAAAGCGTTATCCAATGAGTTTTCACTTATCAGTCGATCTTTATTCTTCAAGCAGAAAAACATGGCCATAAAGGTAGGCAGTGCGTTATATACGGGGTGGTAAATCATCAGTTTAACAGCGTTTATGAAAGTTCAGAACGTGGCGTAAAGCAGTGCAGTGATACTGATAAAATTTTGCGGTTTCATAGTGACTGAAATATTAGCTCGTAAAAGTGATGTATTGTAGGGTGTTCATCAAATTCTTGAATTGTTTGGTCAACGAAGTGCCTATTTTGAAAAATTTAAATACAGTGCGATGATATTCATTCATAATCATCTATAGTAGTCAGCCTCTGAAACAACTTCATTTCAAAAAATTAATTCATTTGTTCAGAACTTACATTATTGAGGAACTACGGCTGAACAAATATGTGTTAAATGATATTTATTTCAATTCATACACACCAATCAATAACACATTGACGATGAGAGAGAGAGAGAGAGAGATAGAGAGGAAGAGAATATACTTTATTGTCATAAGAGTAATCTTGTGAACAAAGTTTCACTTAATCTATAATACAGTTTTTATGTAAAAACAAAGTGCTTTTAAATTGATCAATTTTCACTTAATACATGAAATCAGTTTGTATATATAAAACATATAAGTCATACATGAATTATCAGAAAACTAAGATTTTTAGGCAATATTTTGGCACAAATTCATGAATTTCGAAAATGTATGTATGATGGACGGAAGATCGATAATGAATCAAAACTATTTTAATTTTGATGGATGTTTTCGTTAAACATTAAACTTTGTTAGTAGGTGCTCAGATTGAATTTGTTTGAAAAATAATCAGTTCATACACTGTGGATAGCTCTTGTGTATTTCAGGTATTCATTTGTTGAGTCAAAACATAATAGTTAATATTCAATTTTCCAACTGTTATTCTCCCGTTTTGATATTGAAAGACTATAATCTTCTCCGAAATGAGGAAAAATATATTCATTCAACTGACATAATTGTGCTGAATGGAGTGATGCCTCTGTCATTTGAATATTCCGGCTTAGTTACAAAACATAACGTCAGTCGTGTAAATGAACTTGCCTCATGGATTTCCAATCGATTTATGATGCGCTTATGGTGTCTTGGCGAACGTGACTATAACTCAAAAAGCATTAGTAGAATTTCAATCGTATATCTCCAGATGCGTTGATGGCGGAGAACTTTCATCAAAGGCAACAGGCCGACGCCACCGATGCATAACATCCTTTCTTCATTGAAAAAATCGATGACTCGATATTTTCTTTGAAGTCTGTGGTCGAATCAAAGACAAAAATTGGTTTCATATTAATAACCGTGAAATGGTTGCGGAAAATTGTAAATTTTTTGTAAATGTGTTTTCAGTTGGCATGGCTTCATTTTTCCAGGTGAAACAATAGCATAACCTTCATATTTTCAAGTATCTGTCAAAATCTGTTTTTCCGTTGATCAGCTGTCGCTTCCCTAAGAACGACAATTCTCAAAAGTCGAAATTTGTGTGAGCTGAAAACTAACGAGGTCTCACCTTCTAACGTGTGATTTCTAATACGGCTTGGACGATAGGAAGTGGAAACCGATCGTCCTGCCTTGCGGTTCGAACCACACAGCGGTCGATTGAGTGAGTGGAGCAAACCACCTACGTCACCCAATAAAATACCGGCAATACATATCGCGTAAATGATGAAAAACTAGTTCTAACAATTAAAATTCATACAAAGTACTATTTCCTTTTATTACACTGGCCTGTATTCTTGCACAAGCGAAGGATCGTTACGTGTGATGGAAAGTGGGTCATCTACAACAGGAGACGTTCCGGACAGTGGTTTGACATCGATAAGCCATCCAGGCACTTTCCAAAGACGAAAACAAACAAAGACCATGTTTACTGTGTGGTGCTCAGCGGCTAGTGTCATTCATTATAACTTTCTACAACCGAGACAAACCATCATAGAAGAGTCCTATTGTGAGGAAATCGACGAAATATACTAAACATCGCTTCAGCAGCAGCCGGCACTGGTCAACAGAAGAGGTTCGATTCTGCTCCAAGACAATGCCTGTCCGCATGTTTCACAAATCACCGTCCGAAAATCAATTCAATTGAACGTCGAAGTTCTGCCTCAGGCACCATACCCCGCCAACCGACTACCATCTTTTCAAGCACTTTAACTTTCTCATCGGTAGAACCTCCGTCCATAAGAACCAGACAATAATAGCCTTCATCGATTTCGTCGAGTCCCAAGCAGGAAATTTTTTGCTGACGGAATTATTCGACGTTGTTGGCAAATGTGTACTGATCCAAATGGATCTTATTTTGATTGAATTTGATGAGTGGGTGATATAGCTCATACCTTTTGGATGGTATCTATTGGAGCAGAGGAGATTACATTGCAGCTAAAAGGAGATTGGAACTTCTACGATTGAGATATTCTCTTGTACGGGTTCCAACAAATCTACTTATTTTTTCCACCGAATATTGACTATTGTTATCTCTGCAACACAAATTTCAACTGATTTCATGTGTGGTTACTTCATTAAGTCTTTTTCACGAAATATTTCGAATGATTAAACCATCAGGAATACAGAAACATAACGACATCAATAGCGATATTAGAAATGAGTAACAATGAAATAAAAATTTATAGTAAAATGGACAATCCTGTATCGATATATTTACGTATTTGTATTTGAATGAAAGGCATTCAGAACCTCTGGTATGAAATGAATCTTTCGAAAACAATTTTTCACCTACTAAGGATTACCTTTTTTCTACTTTCAATTATATATTAATGCGAACAATGAGGTATTAGGAACGGGAACTTTATTGCCGTTCATAGGTCTCATTCTACATTTCTCGATTTCTTAACTTTCGAAGATATTTAAAAATTTGTTGTCATCTATCGGCCTCAACAATTTAAAGCATTTTTCGCTCATTTTATGGCCACACAGTAACAATGGACTTCTCTAGTCTATGAAATCGAATATATGAAACATGTTTCTTCTAGCGAGCTATTATAGTTCGCTTTGTTTATCACGATTCTCACCCCTTATTTCATGAATCCCTAACTGTTCCTTTTCCGTCGTCTTGTCATTTGGATTACCCAACACTTCTTGAAATGTACGAGCACATTTTGAAAGCTACTCTCATATTCAATTTTTCAGAAACTACAAGTCTTCATCATTCTGAAAATCGAGAATTCAAGGATGCACTCTTGAAATTTTCTCTTTCTAATCAAGGTATTCATGACATTTGAGAGATATACGTTACTTTCAGCTATCTCCTTGATAACTTTCTTCTCGATATCATATCTTTCCTTGCTCAAAGGGAACGTTACCAGCCTATCGACAAGAAAAGGCAGCTTCGCAATTTTTTGTTGTGTGCAATGATGAAAGATGTCAAGAAAGTGTTATTCTTTCTATATACATCAAATTCTGAACCCTTATCGATGTTTCTTATAACTAGAACATTCAAGAATAGAGTTAACGTTTGAAATTGAAATTCTGTTTCTGTTAAAATCTGTTAAAAATCTGTTTTTTCCGTTAACCAGCTGTCTCACCCCTACGAACGACAACGCTCAGAAGTTGAAACTTGTGCGAGCTAAGGATTAACGAGGTCTTACCATTTAACATGTGATTCCTAACATGGGTTGGACGATAGCAAGTGAAGATCGATCGTTCAGACTAGAGCTTGAACCACCGACCAACATGGCAGTCAATTCGAGTGAGTGAACAAAGCACCCACGCCGAACCGCTTGGCTACCGGCCGACCAATGACGAAGAATAGCCATTTCATTGAAATCTGAAAGAATACGCGACATACACTCAATGCATCCAGCCTCGTCAAGTAAGTCGGGTGCCGGATCTGTGCTCCCGTGTCAAGACACAATAGATTTCAACAAGGAAATGATATTGCTGTTCAGTCATTTACGTACTCTGTTCATATATTCAAACATTGGGTCTTTATTAATAGTACTTTCAAACGAATGTTCTTGTTGAAATTCCTCGTTATTCAAATAATGATATTGATTCAATTCAAAAATTGATACCTACTTTGTTCTCATATTGATACATTGAGCTGAGAATATTTCAGGATTAAATTTTTTCGAATACGAATATAGTGATAGTAGAAGAATTTGGCAATACCTTCAGAATATTCAAATATAAACACTCATGACTTTACCTAAAATAACAAAACATACTCTTGGTTTGTCTGCCGCTAAATCGGCTTATTTCTCACTTGTTGAGTCACATTTAAAATATGAAATTCCTTTCTGGGAAGTATGTTGCAAAACTCAAACGCAGACGATGTTCATCATTCAGAAAAGGACTATAAGATTCATGTGTAATGCCAAAAGTTGAGACTCCTGCAAACCCTTATTTGAATTACATAAAATCTTGACAGTTTTTGGAATCTTCATTTTAGAAACAGTAGGTATGTTTAATTAACAAACATAAATTGATATTTAGCGGTTACTCTAATTACTATGCCCTTCGTCAATCTAACGACCTAAGATTACCCATACCAGCCTCTGCTCTAGTCAAAGACTCTATATATTATAATGGTCTCAAGATGTTCAATCATTTACCTGACCATATTAAAATTTTACAGGATAGCTGGGTATTTCGAAAATCAGTAAAAGACTTATTATGTGGTAGACCCTATTATAGTTTAGAACAGTTCTATGAGAACCGCTCTCTCTAATTTATTTTATCAACTGTATTTTTCATTAAACAAAGTATGGTCTACTGCATTTGAACTGTTCAAACTTTTTTGGTATAAACCGTAAATGTGCTATATGTGAAAGGCACTGACAGTCTTGAGTAACTCAGAACAGGAGCAGCGACATAAGGTGAAGAGATTAGAGGAGCTGAGACTCCAAATGCTGGAAGAGCAGTCACTGGAACTGATTTTGGTGCAACTTCAACACTTTCTACCGCTTCTGAATCTGCAGGAAATTTAGTTGCCCTTATTGCAGCTGCTCTAGTCAACAACGGTGCAGTAATTGCTCTTGCAACTAAAGGTGCAGCTACAGTTTTTGCAATTACTGGTTCTACCTCAACAGGTTCGGCAGCTACTGGTTCGGCAATTGCTGTTGAGGGTTCTTTTCTGACGACTGCTCTGAATCCATTCACAGGGTCTGCAGTATAATCTACGATTCTTCTGGTACCATCGGGATCATTGAGACTGTATTGACCCTTGACAATATCTCCATTTCTGCTCTCGAGATGAGCTTTTGAATCTCCAGTTAGAGCGTCCTGGACATCATAAGCGTAGGAGTACTGAGGTGAGAGATCTACGGTATCATCCGATATTTTTGCTACAACAGGCACCACGCGAGACACTGCTGCTTGTGAGGCACAGGCTAGAGCAGCGATGAAGAAAACCTAAAGATGAAATGATCTGTTTAGTTCAGGTTACACACATTATATAACATTGTCCACAACATATAACCCTTATTAAAAAACACCAATTTGTTATTTTCGTGATATATTTTTCCACTAACGAAGGGGTACGTTATTTTCTATGATTTGATAAACATTTGCGTTTGGCGTAGCCCTTATCTTTCAACACTTAGACATGAAACGAGTAAAAACTAATTGAATATGTTTGAAAAAAAATCTATTTGAAATCTGTTTTTCCGTTAATAAGCTGTCGCCCCTATACGAACAACAACTCTCAGAATTTGAGAAACTTGTGCGAGCTAAGTGTTGGAATTGTTTATTAGTTCATTTTGATGTTAATATTTTCTCTCCCTGTATGAATAAGTTTGTTTTATGATTTGTTTGGTAATTATGGTATCCAGTTGTTCGGTTGTTAGAATATCAATAAAAAGTAATTACTAGAAAAGTCAAAACCTAGTTTTAAAACGATAAAATAATAAGAATCCATTTACAAAATTTGGCGACCGTGACAGGACACGAACCTGCAATCTTCGGGCTTACGGCCTTCCGATCGTGAGTCGAGCGCATTACCACCGCGGCCAATTCTAATATGAAGAATTATTTCAAACATTTCTCATAAATCATCAATTTGTGTTTCAGTTTTCACTCACAAAAGTGAAATGTTCTCGACGAAATTTTCTGATTCTTGTTTTCCACGAACTTCAAATCGACCAACAACTATAATTATAACACAAAAATTTTTTTATACTCATTTCTCACCAACTTCAAATCGACCAATAATTATCGATTCAACGATGGAATGAGTTACTATATTGTAAAAAATATATGCCTTACTCATTTCTATAAATTATGTAACATATAATTATTTTTCCATAGAGACAAAAATCTTCACCTTGGTTTATATATTCCCATTATTTTATAGTTTTTTCTTCAACGATTTACCAGAAAAAGCTAATCATGAATGTATTCAAGACAGATAAGGGGGAATTGAGAGTATTCACGATAAATGTGATATTTCAGGAATTTCTAATAAAATCGTCAAATGGAACTGTTTTTTATTATCGAGAGACCAATTTCCATCTGCTTGGGATAATTAATCCAAGAGNTATTATCGAGAGACCAATTTCCATCTGCTTGGGATAATTAATCCAAGAGTATTTGTATTCCTAGTAGACTTTACAAAAAGAAAATGTTTACTGTCTACATTTGCTCTTATTGTCACCACAATTATGATTTATATTTTTGTTTCAATGTATACTTATTCTATACACGTATCGGTGAAATTTTTGTTGTTTTCCATCAAACTATTCCATATTGACTTGAAAAAACTCCTTCATATCTGCTAGATGGTAATGAATGAAAGTTGATTGTAAATAACGGATTCGTTGAGTTTGCGAATAATCTGAATTCTGGACCGAACCAATTAGATATACGTCTTGTTCAGTGAAAATATTATTAGAATAATATCAATAAAGCACTTACTTTCGAAATCATTTTTCAGATTATTTTTTATTCCACACCAGAAACTGAACTGATGATGATGAACGGTTTGCTGAGAAATATATATACCCCCTTGAATACCTACAGAATATCAAGTGATTTGGCAACAGCCCCTAAAACTTCAAAAAGTATATGTTTGACGTTATGAACTTGTACTTGACTTCTATTTGGTAATTATTCTTCCAATTCCATTACAAATATTCTTACAACTGTTAGAATGATTAGTATTTCAAAGGCATATAGGTTGAAGGCAACTTCGAAACTGATTTGGTGACAAGGTCATAATATTTACATTAAAAATGCACTGTGTGGTCCTGATGGTAACACCTGAATAAGCAAACAGTGAATCACTGCAGGAATTGTTCAGTTCCACATTGAAATAAATTCAGATTCGATGATATGATTCACTCGAATGTTGAAAACGTATTAGAATGTGAGCTATTCATTTCACCGTGAGAAGAGTTTGATGGCGATTTTCTGTAGGAATATATAGTAATCATTATATTATGGAACTGAAGTAAAAGCAAAACAATTTTGTCCATTTATGAAAAATATTTTCAAAAGAATATATAGAATTTTTTCACATATTTGTTGAAAAAAAACAGAAATGATTCAATGATTCTAATTAAAATACTCCAAAACAGTAATGTGACAACACTTCTCTCGATGATTTTGCGTCGACGACAGTATTGTCAAACTTTCACTGTATAAGGCAGGTTTCATATATGAAAATATGAAATTGCTAAAAATGATTCTTTGAAAGCCAAATGTCAATGCTATCATGTGCGATTTTATTTATCTTCACATTCTCGGTAGGTCGGTCGGTAGCCGGGCGGTTCGACGTGGGTGATTTGTTCACTCAGTCAATCGGCCGATGTGTGAGTCGATGGTGCAAGCCCCAGGCTGAACGTTCGATTTTCACTTGCAATCGTCCAACCCGTGTTAGGAATCACACGTTAAAAGGTAAGACCTCGTCCTTAGTTCGCCCAAGTTTCGACTTCTGAGGGTTATCATTCGTAGGGGTGCGATAGCTGATTAACGGAAAAAACATATATTAAACATTTTTAAACATAGTTTCTCCGAATAAACGGTCAAATTCAGGTCTTTTCCAGCTAATAAATTTATCTGCAGTCACATCCATTTGTCTAACTTTTCCCCTCGTATCTGATATCATTTTTGATGGTTTTTAATAGTTTCAATCAACAGCGTGTATACAAAGGATAATTTGAAAAAATCGCACTCATCATATACACGAAAATATTTGTAGAAATAAAAAAGTTTTCGTTTAATTTTCTCTGATTGATCCGATTTTAATGATTTTCCATACCACATTTTCTCGAATGGAATTGAGATCTATTTTTTACAACTACCAATTTCATTGTTCAAAGTGCCTAAGGTGGATTCTGTTCTCATGAGTCAGGACTATAAATTTTGGGTCAACTTTGATGGACCACTGAGAGCTCCATCGTTTTGAAAAATGAATTGACACATTTTATACCTGGAACAAATGAGATTAATAAACATGTTTCCATTTTATGGAAGAAGATACTGAGGAAAAACTGTATCCCCTTTTACATTGCGATCACTTACGCTTATCCACAGTTCTTTCAATCTGAGCATGCATTCATTACAGTGAATTGCAGAGAATACAAGCATCGCGACTCCTTGTTTCACTTTTTTGAAGTGACTTGATGAAAAAAATATTAAAATTGCATTCAAGCATCCATAATTCTGAGTGTAGTGATATTTTTTCACTGTCAAACTACATTTCTTGATCTTAGACTTGGTGAAACCCGTTATTATAGTTTTGGTGTCCTGAACCATATGGACTGAGAAATTGGAGTAAAAATGTATTGTTCCGCTTCAGCTATCCTGTATCATAGTTAGAAATTGGATTTCCAAAATACTTCATAAATAAATAATTCATAAATTTCTGAAGTAATATTAATTGAAAAATGATTTTGAAGAAGTATCAAATTTTGAAATGACAGGTATAACCTTATTTTCAAGTTCACATTCTGTTGAAATTTTTCCTAATACTATTTGTGAAGTTTCCTTTTGAAAGCATTTTCTTTGTTGACTGCGAAGTACTGCGTGAAAGACAATTTCATAAGTAAATGTTTGGGTGTCTTTAGAGTGAGGCAGTTATGAACGAGAAATTCATATAATTTTGTTAAATTGTCATAAAATATGACAATTATGTGTTCTGGATTCCTTGAATCGCTATGTAATTTCATCGTTCACTGTTGAATTTCTTGTTAACTACACTATTTGTTGGTTCTGATGTGTCTCTCACGTCTTGAATGTCTTTATTAGAGCTTGATTTCATTTGGTTACTTGAGTTGTTCGTACGTTGAATTTTATTTCATATATTTTTCTAACACACTCGATCTACATTCTTGTTCCAGTCCTACTTTTCATTGGTATCATCCTCTTCAGCATGACAATGTTCATCATCATCTGAATATTATCATATTTTATACTCTCTCAACTTCAGAACTGGACTGGATATTGGGATTACTGAATGAATTTACATAGAAAGGTATTATATTTGGTAATTTCCGAAGAAAAACCGTGTAACGTCACTATTAAAAAAGTTGATTCTTACATTCTCTTTGCAAGGCTCCACATTCATTACATTCTTGTGAGGCCTTGACTGATCACATCTTCTCGAGGAGTTGTCCTCCTAGGTCATCGTCCATCCTGTCCTTTCCAGGAAGGTCAACAGGTCACTAGGAAACTTCTCCTTTATATTGGCAGGTGTAGGCCAAGACTCGCCGAAAACATACTCTCTTTGGCAACCTCACGGTGGATTCCGCGAAGGTTTTGGAAGGTGCAGCGATATTACTGTCATTGCGCGGCTTCTTCAACCTTCTTGGGGTGCACAAGTGAGGGAGCTTTCCTGCAGGGGCAGTCGGTTCTTTACCTTTATTCAAGGCGGGACTCATGGCGCCAGCCGCAGGAAGTGCCCTGGCTGTTGGAGGTGACCTGTTCAGCCTCATTCCAAGCGGTAGATTGGGGTGGACATTTCTGTTCATCCTCAGCCACCGCCTTAGATTGAGGTGACCACTTCAGTCCACCCTCGGGATTGGTTTTTGTTGTTTTTGTTTTTGTGTTGTTTCATTTATGTATGTTCCCACGAGTAGCAAGGGAGGAGTTGGTCACCTCTGGCAGAACCCAGCATTACCAGGAGTAGGCTGAATACAATGAGGTTTCGCCCAGTTCCGCAAGGGTATCATTCATGACCGCATATCACCCTGCGGCCATTCAGCTGTCGGCACGATTCCTTACACCTTAGCTTGGGTAGGCTGGCTCACGGTGGCATGTTTTGCAAAGGCTTCTGGGTTTTAGTTCCTCTCACCCTACTTATTTCTGCCACTGACCAGGAGTCCGGCGACCCCGTCCGTAAGACCACATTGGCTTCCCGGACACGGCTTCCAGTGCCCTGGCCGTTCCCCTATCCGCCACAGGGGGATGCGCCCGATAGGTAGCCCAACCCACGGGGACTGATCACATAACCTCCAATTCAGAAAATGTCAACTTCATTTGTTTCAGTGCTCCCTTTTTTATTCAAGCTGAATTGCACTACTTGAAATCACTAACGTGTTTTTCAAAGCGGAGTATTGTAAGTAGACACATTGCACAACTCATATTTTGACGACAAAATTTAACTAGACTTTCATGTTTAAATATGTATCAGGATAGTTTAGGTGAATCCAAATTAGTTTTCAAGTGATATTAGGTTTCAATAAGTTGGGATACCTTGTTATTATAACAATGACAAGCTGGCTCAAAAGCGGGCCTTCTAAGTCACCAGATATGACGAACGCCCTTCAATTTGTATATCGAGAAGTATATCTACTCTATCTACACAATCCATTTCAGAATTTATGAATAGAATAAGATGTCTTATAACGAAATAACGTCAGAAACAGTGAATAATGTAGAAGTGAATTTGTAAACAGGAATAGAATGATGAACATTTCGAATATTTATTGATTCGAACTGAAATGAGTTTTCAATCAAATTGTTATTGAAATTATGATTTGCTTCCTCCAATCTTTGGAGGAAGCAAATCATATGAACTGTTTGGTATGTTTTTGAGCTCTCTCAACAATTCGGTTTTTATCTCCTCAGTCATCGCAAAACGCCGTCCTTTCATGGGTCTTTTCAATCTTAAAAACAAAAAAGTCGAAAGGGGTCAAATATGGTGAATACGATGGCTGAGGCACGATTTCGCTATAGTTTTTGGCCAAAAAATCACAAACAAGCAATAACATGTGAACAGGAGTATTATCGTGATGCAAAAATCATTGTTTTTCTACAATTTCACAATTCCACGCATTGCTTTTCGCAAGTGGCACAACTTCAAGATAGTACTACTTATTTACCGTACGACAATATATCAATAACTTCTAATGCAATACGCTACGGTGATAAAAAAAAATTGAGATGCCGAACTTTGACAAGTGATCGAACTTGGCGGGCTTTTTTGTTCTTGGCTCTCCTAGGCTTTTTCATGATTCGTAACCAGTTAAGATCCTTTCAATTTCTCCAATAGCGATTCCATGATTCTCTACAACATTTTTCTTCACTTGTACTTGTACAACTCATAAACGACTATTTTTTAAGGATATATATTCATGCCTAATTTCATTAGGAATTGTTATTTTTCTTGGTTCAATCCAGCACAATTGATGAGTCATAAGGCATAAAAAATAGCTGTGTGTTGGATTACGAATGCAATGCTGTGGGATCGGGTATCAACCAACTACCTATTTATTGTATTGATTTGAGATTTGTGATGGTGATTGTGATTGCATCTTCCTAGCAAAGTATATTCAGATTTTCAAGTGTTTTTGTGACATTTTCATTTTGCATATGCGAACTTTCTAAGCCTCAAGCCAATTATTCTATTTATGCCTTTGAAAATGTCGGATTTCATAGTCTTGACGTAAAAAATGAGTTTTTAGCTCTTGCAGTTAGTTATAGGTGATACACGTGGAAATGTTATTGAATTGAAAATAATGACTCAAGCAGAGGGCTAATTTGTGAAAAGTTCCAGTATGGCGTCCATAAACTCGGATATTGATTACGATTTGCCGTACAAAAAAGTGGAACAGAAAAATATATATAGTTTGGAAAAAAGTTTGGTGAAATAACCCCTATATGCAGAAGTGATAAATTCCTGTATGGCTTTCAGAATATTGGTTTTTTATATCAAAATCGGTGATTTTTTTGTTCATTTTGTATGAATTGGCTGGTGTGAAGGGTGGTAGAAAGAGTAAATTGAATCCTAATTTTAGGATACGCTTTATAATTAAAATTTTAAATAACAGGTGTGAAATGAATCCATTTGAAACACATTTCTGTCCCCAGAATGAAAAGATAGACGTGCCTATCATTGAGAAGATGAGTTCAACTTGCCTGGTGATGCTAATTTGGTTAGCCAAATACGCGTCGGGAGATAGCATAGAAAAGTGAATTCGCAAATTTGAATCACTTTTGTGAAAACACAATTTTTTCCTATTTGTACAATTTTTCTGTATGGCGTTTTGTGAGTGAAGAACCCAGTACTGTATAATATAAAAATAAAGAACTTTCCGTCCCAAATTTGGGTTACTAGATCTACTCACTCAAGATTTTCACCAACAAATGATGGCATAAAGCTGAAAACTGATTTTTCACTTCAGAACTTTAAAAATCATACATTTTTGGGAGGTATTCTATAATCAATCGAAAATTTAGCATGGACTTTCAGTGTTTTTCCTGTATTTTCGACTAGTATTATTTACTCCACTGAAAACATATCTTTTAGAAACACTTACTGCTTATTTCTTTTACAACTTGTCAAGATAATCAGTAGTGTCACTCAAGAAATTCATGTTTTATTCAATTGTTACTGTGATAATCCTTCCGACTCCCATGATGTTTATATCATCGTAGTATATTTGAAAGTATTACCTAGAATTACTCCTATAACCTCCTTGATTAAGGGTGTCAAATTAGTTTCTTCATACAATCGTGAAAAAGCCAAGTTGCAGACGTGCTCTTCGAACATATTAAAAATAATACATTTCAGAAGATAAGTGTATCATCCATTTTCCACTTGTCGCACATTCATATCCATTTTCCTCATGTCGCACACTCTATTCATTTATGGGTAATTTTCTGATGTTTTAACCAAGAGATGAGAAAAAACGTGCCAAAAGTGACGCTGGTTTTACTTTACTGCTTATTGGATTCTCCGTTTGAAATATGTACTTTACGACAGAACGTGCGCTATCATCAGAGACAGCTTCCATGAAGATCTCGTAAAATACGCAATTTTGCTGCGAAAACATATTTATTTTCGAATGTTGAATATTTCATGAACATAACTACTTCCTGGAACTCAATAATACGCAAATATGAATCTGACCTTCGTACATTTTGGGGATCGTTAAGTTGTTGAAATGTTGGCGATTGATGGAAGGATTGAGAGATATCTACTCGTATAGTGGCGTCATCGAAGTCTTTCTTCGAAAGTCCTCAAGATCAGCTTTGATTTTGATGATTTCTACGTTAATTTTTTTTCAATCATGAACCTTTGAAAGCGTTGACAACATTAATGATATTATCTGAACAATATGTGTGATATTTGTACAGACATTCAGTTATGCCTGTTTTGTTTTTCGAAAAAATTCAATGTTGAATAACCAATTAACATTTTCAATAACTCAGTATCAGAGTTGGGCGTTCACAAAATTAAAACACCCAGTATATTAAAACTTAGATTAGTACTTCACCTCACAATATGTTTTGATCATTATTTCGCAAGTCGACAAACTAGGCCGATAATTGTCGACACATGAAAAGTCAGCAGTGATCCTGTTTTTGGAGAACAGAGCAGAGAGTTGAGGTTCCTTAAGTACAATTTCTGATTAGTATATTATTGTTTCGGCTAATAAAATTTGTTATTACTTCTGTACGTCTCTGCTCCATTAGTTTCAAAGCCAATCACTGAACCTCTCGAAGTCCTAAATCAATAAAATGAGTGAACTCGTCGAAGAGCCCCCAGTGGTGCGACAATATAATGATATTGGAATTAAAGCGTCTGGGAGAAATCGTAGAATTATGAAAGATGTACTTCAATCTGTCATTTATCTCAAAATAGGTTGAAGCGGGGACTACGGAGAGGATGTGCAGCTCGTAGATGGAAGCATCTTGCACCATCTGGATGCCTTAGAGACGTATACTTACCTCGGGTTGGAACAACGTTACTCACTAGAGGTAACAGCATTGAAAAACTCACTTCGCGGCAGTATCTGGCCATCGGAACTGTCGGGGAAGAACAAAGTTGCTGCTGTCAATATACTTGCCGTTCCAATCTTACTCTACTCTACTCTACGTAAACACTCGAAAAATATTTCACCTCCTGAGGAGTTTGCATCTCAAATCGTCCGTTTCAGGGTTGTACTTTCCCGACAACAGGGAGGCCGTGGATTTTTTTGTTTCGAGTATCTACATGACAGAATGATACAGAATGACAGCCTGTAAAATCTTCAGAAGTTCGATACCCTTTCTCCGCATGGTCCGCGACCATGATATATCGTAAATTAGAACCTTTCTCTTTGGTACATCTGCCTGAGCAGTTGATGAATTCGGTTGAGTTTTCGACACTGAACGAGGTGATCACAACTCCGACACCGTATTGGAACCCGTTCAGCAAAAGGCCCATATAAAAGCCGCAGACATCAGTTCAATCCATGGGGTCTTTTTCAGCAACAATGAAGGCCTATTAGGCATATCAGAGTGCATACCTTCGCTTTCCTCAGGTCGAGTGAGCTTAAGTCGGAATCTAAGGAATTCATCATGGCCTACCAGGATGGTGTCTTCAACACCTCAGTATACTGCAGTCGCATGCTGTGTATAGAGGTTCCTGACACAAGGTGTAGGTGCCGCCAGGCGTCTGAAACACTAATGCATTTGCTAACGGCATTTCCAGCATAAGCAGTCTGAGCCTATATTCATTGATATAACGTGGCCCTTTATCACCACCTACGGCACTTTTGAAGTATTGACTAGACACCGATGTTGCCGTATGCTCCGGGGGACAAGACAATATTTGTCATCAATTGAAGTAGGTGTTTCGCAGGGGTACTGCTTGTCATCGCATCTTCTCAGGTCAACCATAAAAAGGAATCAAATCATTTTGTGGAAATGAGAGGTTTCTGTTGCAGCTTAAACACAAGACTAGAAACCCATCAATTATGGAATATGTAACAATTTGCTAAAATATACCAAAACAGGTTATGAAACCTGCCGAATGTACTTTCTATGACAACAGAATCCAGCATATTCTTTAAACGACTTGCCGAATGTACTTTCATGACAACAGAATTGAGCATATTTTTTAAACGACCGAAAATAAAATAATTAAGCATCGAACAACAGAAATGAAACTACTTGGGATGTAGTGAACGCACTAACTAGCAAAAACCTACTGAAGTTTGGAAATATTCATATTATTATACCACTGATACTTTTCAAGTAGCCAAGGAATTTGAAAACTACTGTTATGTTCTGTAATGGATATGATGAACTCAAAACATAGAATACACTAAATAATAACTCAGTGATGGTTAAATAAACCCAGGATTGAGACTTCCCCCTTTCTCGTTTTTTGCTGTTGGATCCAAACTGCTTCAGGGAAGCTATTATGACAAAGTAGGGAGGGATCGAGGAGTTTTAGGAGAAGCAGTGTTGAAGAAAACTTATTTGAACAAAGAACAATTCACACATTAGTTTCAGTCTATACAATAAAATCACCCGCGCGTACCTTATTTCTTTTCCGATCCAGCTGTTCCGAATATTTCTATTTTCAAAACTAAACTACTCAACTAAATAGATTTATTCTATCAAACCGTGAGCGGTGTTGCCAAATCTTAAAATTAATTTTCCTTAAATATATACATGCCTAAACAACTACTTTTTTATATAGTCCGCGTTACCGATCCTAACATTTACAATTAGAATTTGAAGTGATCAATGTAATGAAAATTTTATTTTCAATTTCGTGAAATTTCTTCAATTTCTTACCAATTACTATTTGGTAATTGGTGAGAATTGTCTCTCTTCAATAGAAAATTTTTGAATTGCTTCAAAACTTCTATCATCTTTTGAAAGCGAAGCAAATCTGGATAACTAGCGAGTCCTCTCATTACTAGCGAATTTCAAGAAGTTACTAGAATGAATTATGAATTACCACTCAATACAGCTCAATATTGAAAAAAATCTTACAGAATTTCATTTCGGATTTCGACAAGATTTTAACATGACCTCCGCTGCTTTAGCATTCACGGAAAGGTTGAATGAGATTTCAGAGTCAACAGCGCATTCATATGCAGATGATACTGTATGTGTAGTGGATGGAAAGGACTGGGATGAGACCATATCAAAGGCTGAAGTTGGTACGTTGCCAGAATATTTTTTCGAGGAATTCAAAATCCAAGCGAATGTTCATTGATTTATTGAAAACGTATAAAAATATTTACAAAACGGTGGCAACAACCAAAATTTCAAAAGATAGTATAAGACAGCGGCGCTCCCACTCTTGTGTAGGCAGGAGCGACAGCCAGAGTAGAACGTGCCGCTATAACACCAACAGGTGCCGGTGCAACAACTGGTGCAGCCTGTGCTACAACCGGAGCTGCTGCTAATGCCAAGGGAGCCTTTCTTACAATGGCGTTGAAACCATTCACTGGATCAGCGGTGTAGTCCACGATTCTGCGAGTACCATCGGGTTCAGCTACATTATATTGTCCTTGAACAATTCCGTTGGCTCTGCTTTCTACTTGCCCTTTTGAGTCTCCTGTGAGAGCATCTTGCACATCATAGGCGAAAGAGTACGATGGATTCGGATCGAAAGTATCATCAGCTAGTCTTCCTAGGAGTGGTGAAGCTACCACTGCTGCTGGAGCTGGGATGACTGATGCCTTCGAGATAACCAAGATGGTTGCCAAGATTGCGAACTGTAAAAGAAAATCAAATGAAAATCTGATTACCAAAATTCAGTTGAAATCTGTGTTGAATCAAATTCTGATTATGAAAATTGGTAATAGATAATTTTACTGGTACTTCATTTTCTGATTTTCTCATTAAGCGAACAATTAACAATGAAAGCCAGAAGAAAAACTTGTTCAATTCAATTTGTATGGACATTTTCCACTTAAATAGTTTGAGCTGAACAAAAGGCATTGCAATATAAAATCTATGACATATTATATTGAGTTGAAATAATTTTGTCAATATTATGGAACTGTTACATGATTTTCATCACGAAAAACTATTCATAATTTTTCGCAAAAAATATTTTACCATTTGAGTTGGTTTCGATGAGTTTTACTATATCGAACAGAAATTATTATTTTTCTCTATGTAGACACACACATTCTTATTGAATATCACTTCCGTTTCTTTTTCAACCAAAGTACTTTTCTCCAATCGGCTTTCAAGCTTCTATCTATCAGACTTATATGATTGACTGATCCACTAGATCCGATTCAAAGACGGGCATTTTCTTCGGATCTGATCAAACCCTGAAGCTGATGTACTAAGAACAGATTCAACTTATTCGAAAAAAGATGTCTAATAACACATGCCGCATATTCTGATGTAAAATGTTTTCACTTTCCGAATTCTGAATTTTCGTCCACTTGGCACCCAGAAAATATATTCACTTTTGTTTTCACCTACCTTCAACGCCATTGTGAGTGATTCGTGATCGGTTGTTTGATGAACTCGACTGTCTATTATCACCAAAGCCTACTTGGCTTATATAGTCACCTAATTAGATTTCATAAGTCGCATNCTGTATAATTCAGTGTTCATATAGAAGTATTTGTTTCGAAAGAATTTTTTTCTTTCGTGTAATTCAATGTTTATATGAAAGTAGCTGTTTCAGGAGGACTTTCTTTCAGTTTGTGTCTGAAAGTTACTTCTTTGCATGATCTACACATCTTTGTATAGAGTTGATTTTTTGAAATTGATTCCTTCCTTTCTTTGGAAGATTTCCACTTTTTTTGTATCAAGATGGAGTAGTATACGGCATAATTTTCATTTGTTGGACTCAAAGAAGTAGGTATACAGAGTGTTTCTTAACTACTGTACGAAACTTCAGAGTGTGATTCGTTTGGCCGTTAGAAGAAAAGTTTTTATGAACATATGTCCGAAGTTGCTTCGTTGCTGAGATACAGGACGTTGAAGTTCGAAAAACCGTATTTGTAAAATACAATAATTATCTTTACACCGATTTGACTGGAATTTGCTACAGTTATTTGAAGTAACAAGGCGCTCATTTAGCCCTAACTAGATTGAAGTTATTAGGTCCAGTGGAGTCTCAGTGGGCACAACAGCCAACAATATTGGGAAAAAAAGTACGCCACTGACTTGTTGTACTTTTTTGTTTTCAAATACATCGACTAAAAATACAACCTTTTTGTCGCTTGTGTTTTCTTTATATCTAGCTTCGTTTGCGAGAAAAAATTGAAGCCGCTTTGCATATCATGAACAGCTGCTTTGGAAACCAAATGACAGTGATAGTGTTGTCATATCAGTGAAAATCAGAGTTGTCAATTAACAGTGATTCCATCGTGAATGATTTTTCTAATGCTGAAATGGCTAACATGCACTTTATTCGTGGATTAGCAAATGGAAATGCGGAAGAAGCATGTATTATTTACCAAGACAGATATCTCAACAGAGTAATTCCATGTGTTAAAACTTTCAGAACGCTTCATGCAAGATTATGTAAAACAGAGTTTTAATAAAATACAGGTGGTTGAATATCAGAAACTGTAACGATGCCTAAACTAGAAGAAGCTATACTCGATGAATAGAATAGAATAACATTTATTCGTACAATGCATACACAAATAGTGTTCGCAACGCAAATAGTGACAACAACGGTTTTAAAAAACTACAAAAACTACAAAAGCAAGTCATGGACCTGTTTTACCCAAATTTAAGATGCGATAACGTCAGTTATAGGACATTGTCATATTTAGGTGAACCAACCAATAATATTGCCCTTTTTTTATAGAGAGAATGCGTAAACGTAACATACAGAACAAAATAATAGTCTAAATATATCTATTGAAAAAATAAAGACAAAAATTTGGTGTCGGATAGATCAGGAGTATATAACCTGACTTGTGGCTCTTGCCCAAAACTGTATATTGGCCAAACGGGGAGAACAGTTTACCAAAGAATTGAAGGACAAAGAAGTAGTTTTTTAAATAGAAAGACCAATTACATCTGCAAACTACCTTTCAGCAGGAGGACATGAGTTCAATCATGAATACGACTTGTTACATTTAGAAGAGAAGAGTTAGGAACTCAATCTTCTAGAATGTCCAGAAATCAGTAGAATTGAATAACTCCCCGTCACTAAATATTTTTTGAAATGTGGAAACTGGGACATGAAATCAGGTAATTTAATTCATTACAAACTTGGTGAAAATCAGTTACTTGAAATGTAGGTACTACTAATTCAAAACTTGATATATCAAGCATTGAATTGTAGAATATAGTTAATAAAGACACGCTCGAAGAAGCCACTGTATGGCTTATGCTTTTTTGTAAATTGTTTAGTGAAAATCTCACAATAAGTATTTTTTGAATACGTTTCTTAATTTTCAATTTGAAAGAGTTCATACTCATGTCCAAAATCTGAAACTCATATGGTAACACGTTAAATTTGTTCAAAGAAATACATATAAATGAGAGTTCTGCGATTTACTTAATCCATATTTGGGTAATCTTACATTTGTTTTGGCCCTGGTATCATGGTAGTGGATGTCCTTCTGCTTAGTCACTTTATTTTCACCTATTGAATTTTTAACATAATACAGACATTCATATATGGATCAAGATCAGCCTGTGCCGTAATTCTGATATGACTTTTTTTGTAATTTGAATAATATATCTAAATAACATGGGTATAGCAAAAACGCATCTGACATGGAATAACAAAAAAAGGTAAATGACAGCTAAACGTAATTTTGTCAATGGTTAATGAAGGCAATTGATGATGGAAATGGTGTTTTTTTATATTTCCTGGATACCCCTGGTGGAACTGGTTAGACATTCCTGATGTCATTACTTTTAGACACTGTTCGCGCGAGATCCAACATTGCTCTTGCAGTTGCTTCTTCTGGAATAGCAGCCACATTGTTTGAAGGATGCCGTACGGCTCATTCAGCATTGAAATTGCCGTTAAATCTTCAAACTATTGAAGAACCAACATGTAATATTTCAAAAAACCACGCAATTGCATAGCATCGAAAATAATCATATGGGACGAATGCACAATGGCGCACAAACGTGCAATAGAAGCACTTAACCGAACATTGAAACATCTACGCAATGACTCGAGATATTTTGGAGGTGCAATGATTCCATTGTCTGGCGATTTCCGGCAAACACTGCCAGTAATTCCTAGATCAACGGCTGCCGACGAAATAAACGCTTGCCTCAAATCATCAAATCTATGACGCTATGTAAAGAAACTTCAGCTGACAACAAACATGAGTGTTACATTGCTTAATGATACATTTGCTGAAGATTTCTCGGAGCAATTGCTGACTATCTATCGGTAATGGTCGAGTACCGGTCGACGAATCGGGCGTATTGATTTCATTTCCTCAGAATTTCTGTAACTTTGTCTCATCGAAAGACGAACTTATCAGCAGAGTATCCCCAAACATAATTACTTACTACAAAAAATAATGAATGGTTGGGTGAGTGACCAATTTTAGCGGCTAAGAATAAAGATGTAGATGACCTAAACTACATAATTCAGAATGATATCATTGGAACAATGCATTCACTCAAATCAATTGAATTTTTAGACTCCTTGGATGTGCCTGGCTTACCACCGCACAATTTACGCTTGAAGTTTGGCTCCGTGGTAATCATGCTTCGAAACATAAGCCCACAAAAACTCCTTGAAAGTTTGTGGTATGAATCTGGAAAATCAATGTTTTTCACATGGTCCATTATATGTGGCATGTTCATGGGTTGGAAGACCATCTGCGTTGTTTATACTTGCGCCTGATAATAAAACAAAAAATGTCGTGTATCACAAGGAACTTAAATGAAGAGTGTAACTGAACGAAGAATAACTGAAATACTTGATTGATAAAAAAATGTAATTGATAAAATCAAAAATGTGCTTTTCTTAATTGCCTCTAAGACGGAACGAAGTTCGCAGGGTCAGCTAGTTATTCTTATTTGAGAAATATAATGTTTTGGTTTTATCATCATTTATGGTAAGATAATTTGTTTCTAGACCAGTTTGCTATGAAGTTTCCAGATGCATTAGCGTTAGAACTTAGATAGGCGTAGTGTCACTCAACAAAAAAGCGGCATCATCAGCGTACATTATAGGAGAAGCATCCATTACGTTGTTGTTTACCACGTTCAGTCATGAGTCTGCATGAAATATACGTATCTTTAGATGTGGAACTTGTTACAATAGAGAAAAAATGCCTTTATGGTCTGACATATGCAGTTCAATTACTTCCACGATCAAGTTGTTTATGTTAGTAAACAGACTATCTACTTTTGAAACACTGGTGCTGGTAACTCGTGTATTTTCATTAACTTTTTTCTCAAGATTATGTGACAGGAAAATATTCACATTTATATTATCTTAGACATTAAAATTTAAGTTGAAGTCGGTAAACGCAACAATCTGATTATTAGAAGTCAACAATTTTTGCTGAACATTTGGGTAGGAAGGATTAGTGACTACCTAATTGGCCAATTTTTTGCAGCAGCAAGATTAACAGTTGAATCCTGCACGGACTTTTTGCGAGATTATCTACCCATTTTGTTGGAAGAAGTGCCGGTACTTGTAAGGCAATATGTGGTTCATACACGATGTGGCTCCAGCTCATTTTAGTGTTTTTGCCCGTCAGCATCTCGACATCACCTACCCTAATCGCTGGATTGGACGTGCAGGACGCGCACTCCTGATATGACTCCTCTAGATTTCTATTTATGGAGTCATCTGAAGGCTCCTGTTTATAAAACTCCTGAACTAGATGTGAATGACTTGTGAAATCGAATAATTGACAATTGCAATGTCATAAGGAATATTCCAGGTATTTTTGAAAGTGTTAGACAATCACTGGCAAATCGATTGCAATCGTGTATTTCATCAGAAGGTGTACATTTTGCTTATTTACTGTAAGGTCGGAATATTTTATTATTTACTTCTAGTTTTAATTTTATGTTGTCCATGGATAGCTTTCAGAAGTGACTTTTTCTGTAAAACAAAGTTTGATATGAAGAAAACACAAACAACGAAAAAGTTATGTTTTCAGGTGCAACAACAAACTACAAAAAAAGTCAGTGGTTTTCTTTTTTTTCACAATATTGTTGGCTGAGGAGCCCACTGAGACGCCTCTGGACCTAATAATTTCAGTTAACTACTTTAGTGATCCCAAAAATGTTTCTGAAGAAAGGTTGGTTGGGTAACAGGATCAATTTTTTTCTTAGAAAACCTATTTTGTGAAGTTTTTCGTTTTTTGTTTATTCGATATCTGAAAATAGTGTAGAATCGAAAATTTATTATGTTCCTGTTTTTATTCAAGAGTTGGCCTAACAACACAGTGTTTGTGTTTTTCATTAATTTTCTCATGTTTGTACCATGTATGTCGCTGCATCTTCGTCCATATACCAGTCGTGTAAAAATAATAGCCAGTGGAAACACGCGTTTCAATCACAAATTGATCATCTTCAAGAGGAAGATCAAGAACTAACTCAGTTTAGTAAAATATATCTTTGGCGATTCGTAGAAAAAATTTCGAAATCATTGACGAATAACAGATTAATCGTCAATTTGGCGACGTTGACAGAGCTGCATTGATATATTTCATAATGCCATTGAAATCAAGAAGATAATCTTGGAGAATAGTATATGAGAAAATTGTCTATTGAAAACACTTCCTTATCTTCAGGAGGAATCTTTCTCTTGAAGATGATGACTCGGTGATTGAAGCATTTGTCGAGGTGTTGAAATTAACGCTTCGGTGTTGTGACTGAAATCCTGTAATATTCATTACTAAACCAAAGGTTCCAAAGAGTGCACCACAATTATATAACGAATCAGTCGAACCAGATATCCAATTCAGCGAAAGAATCATTAATTTGGCCAAAGTAGAGTTTAACAAAGGGGAAATTTCAACAATTTCCAAAGACCCAAAATATGCACCGACAATAATCCACAAAAACAGTTTAGATACGTTAATAACAGATTCAGCCATTGCATCAAAACACACAAATAATAAAGATATAGCGACATATCATTGCTTCATATCAATGAAGCAATTCAGAACCATCCATTTGCAAACTATAATGACACAGGCATAATAAAAACTCTATTACAAAAAATAAGAAAAAACGATATTTTCCTCACGAAAACTGATAAATCGAATGACATCGTTACACTTAAACGAGAAACATATATCCAGAAAATTGAATCAGTATTTTATAATGAAAATCTCACTGTCATAAAAAAACACCCAATGAGAAATAGTCAAAATGAACTAAAAAATCTCTTTTCAAGCTAAAGTAGACCATATCACGTCTTTTGAAATTTCGGCAGCTTTCATTGTATGCCTAAATTAGAGTTACTAACAATTCAACATAAAATTTAAAAACTGAATTCAGGTTTACCAATGGGCTCACCCCTTAGTCCACTTTTAGCAGACATATTCATGAACAGCTTGGAGACCACTATACTAAATTCCGACCTAGTTAAAAACATATTTATTTTTTGTATGTAGACGATATTCTCGCCTATTTCAGAGGTACTACACATGACATTTATGAATTATCTCAATAGAAACATACAGTTCACACTCGGAACGGAGATAGAGAAACCATTAATTTCTTATACCTGACCACATATTTAAAATAAATTCGAGTTCAATATATACAGTGAGGATGTAAAACGTCCTCCCCGCCGTTAACTTTTAAAATGGAACAAGCCATCGAGGTCGGGTAAAATTCAGGTGAGAAGGTATTAATTTTACTACGTTGTGACATAAAAATGATTGTGTTCACGTGGCCTAGTGTCAAGAGGACACAATCAACTTTTTTATAAATGTAAAGGGGGATCACGTGGCTCCTGCTTTTGAAGGCCTTTTTCGATTCTCTGTCCAACATCGCTGTGTTTGTGAAAATCGTTACAATCATAAATATTCAGCTAACGGTGATTTCCAGTCTCGTCAACAATAAAGTACTCCATATTTCAAGTTCAATCAATATTATGGTATTGTATCATGAAAAAGGCAACAAATTAAAGTGGCATTATTTATTTTATATCGATATAAATACTGAATGAAATTGAAATATGAAAACCAATAAATAGTTTTCATGCTGGTGATGAAGTAATTTTTATACTAATAACTTTACTGAAGACGTGTTTTGCTATACAGTAGCTTCCTCAGTCGAACTGACACTTGAACTGTTCAACAATGCATTTCATACATAGAGCAACCAGGATAGTAGTGATTTCATCATTGTTAGTGATTTTAACCTATCAAATATCATGTGGCAGTTCAACCACAAACTGGCTTCTCATTATCCTCAGTATGTCACTGATACCCTCAGCTAATATTTCATTGATCATATGTGTCTCCTCAATATGAAACAATACTGTAACATTAAGAATCTCAACCAGAAAATCTTAGATCTGATCATGTCTAATTCCAATATAGTGGATGTCAAAAGAAGTATGACTCTCTTCGTTGAAGAGGATGAACACCATCCTGCCTTGGATATCGTAATGAACACCTTCATTTCTAGATTGTTTCCCCTAACTCTTATACAAAATCCATATTCGTTAATGCAAACTATAGAATACTCAAAGATGAACTTCAAAAATCAATTGGAAAGAATCTCTTTCGAGCCATAATGTCAACATAAGTGTAAGCATACTCTACGGTACTATCGACTCATTAATTCAGTCTCACAAACCAACTAAAACAATAATAAAATCCAAACACCGTGTAAGGTTCTCGGCTTGAATTAAAAATTTTATAAGACAAAAAAAGAAAAACAGCGTGTCAAATGGAAAAAAATTAGCAACCCTGATGATTATGAAATGCTCTCTTCACTACGCAAATTCGTTAAATGTACCATAGACAATGACTATACAGTTTACATAAGGCAGACCGAATATAACATCAAGACCAACCCTAAATACTTCTGATCTTGCCTTAGCAAAAAAAAATACAAATATTTTCCAGCCTCTCTATACTTTGAAGATGGAGTCAAGTCCGATAGTGAATCAATTAGTGAACTATTTTCGGAACATTTCCATAGCGTATACGAATCTGACTCATCTCGATCCTAAATCGCAATATACGATAACACATTATACAACTTCAATATATATTCCATACAAAAACAAGAAATCATTGAGGCACTTCATAGACTAGATACTAACAAAGGGCCTGGTCCTGACGGTATATCTCCTATATTCCTGAAAAACTGCAGTGTGAGCCTTGTGGAACCGCTTTGTATAAACTAGTTAACTGCTTTTTATAATCTTTGAGAAATCCCTGAAAACGTGTGTTTTCCTTCATAAATGGAAAATTGACCAAATCATTCCCATTCATTAATCCGGAGATAAAAATAACACAACCAACTACAGGCCCAGATCGTTACTGAACCACTTAGTGTGATTACGATTACGCATTTTTCCATACTCTACCAAAATATATAGGACTTCAACAACTGACCATATACTTCTCAGTATTACTATACATCCTTAGTCATTCTCACGTGAATGGAGATATTCAGTTACAGAAAATAACATCATGTTTAATATTCACAAGGATTTAAAAATAATTCATGGTTCAATACCAAAGTTATTGAAAACTTGCTCTGACCTTACTCTCATTCCACGGCATGAAACAGTAGATAATAACCTATTGATCGATATATAAGGCTGATTCGTATTATGTAACGATATTATTCTCATCGAAACGATAAAGTATCTTATTCAAAATGACTTTCAAAGTAGTGGTAATTCTCGGTTTAGTGGGTTTAGTTCAGGCAGGCTTGCTGGTTCAACCTTTGCAACCAGTAGTAGCTGAACCTCATAACCCTAATCCGCAGTATTCATTTCTCTACGAGGTTCAAGATCCGACAACTGGTGACAGCCATGGGCAGTTCGAGAGTAGAAACGGGGATGTTGTACAGGGTGCGTACGCTCTGATGGATTCGGATGGTACAAGGCGTTTGGTAGAATACACGGCTGATCCAGTTCACGGGTTCAATGCTGTCGTATCCAAACAACCCACAGGAAGAGCTGTTGACCCATCTACTAAGATCGTTAATGTGAACACTGGGTACTTTCATTGATTTATTTTTAACATATACACACGAACGTGTGCTTCATAATCATTTTCTATATTTCTCGTTTCGATTCAAAATAATTTTTTCATCAATTCAAAATTCAGTTTTCAATTCCCCAAAACTTGTAAAATATTCATTATTATTTCTGAATTTTCTGACTGATATAAATAGGTGACCTCTTATCGATCGATATATACTCAAAAAATGAGCATGATTGTGATATTCAATCGCATTTATTTATTTATACTGTTAATTTATTGACCTTTGAAATAAAATCCCTAAAAAAAAGTATTTTTATTGAAACACAAAAATCAATTACCTATCAATCAGATAGAGATGTTCAAAGTTCATTACACATACGTTCTACAAGCTTATTTACTTTTCGAATGAACTCTTTTTCTATAATAGTAATAATAATAAAAATAATAATTTACTTCATTGTCATTAGGAATCAATCATGTGGAAATAGTTCGTGAAAAACAAATACAAATGTATGTATAGAAATATGAAATGTGAATATAAAAACACCAACAAAAAAGTAAAGTTAGAACATACAATTTGTGTCTGCATGAATCACGAGGTTTAATGTTACACCTGATTTCCTTAGAAAAAATCCATATCTGTTCAAAATTTGAATTACTTTTCTTTTGTCTTTACTTCTTCGAAATTGTTTCCACCATTTTACTCGTTATAGGATATTTTTTATGAATACCCAAGCCAACTTGCTGAAGACATCTTATAGTAGGGAATGATGCAGGAGCTGTCCAATAAGTCGATGTTTTTAATATACGTATGCATCCAGTGTTTGTTTTGGTCATGTTCGCCATAGAATAATTTCTGTAAATCTTGCTGATCATTTTGAACATATATCATTCAGTACATTTCACAAATGTACTTCTTTTATCTGAATCTGAGCAAAATGGAGAAAATATCATCCTGCATTATTTGGTCAACTTTCAAACAATCATTGAGACTGAAACCAGTATCACTTTTTCAAGAACCATCGAGCACGGTTTGAAGTTATGTTGTTTCACTGTTCTCTTTCTGAACGCCAAACGCTCTTTGGCTGTATAATAAGAATCTCGTAGTTCTGATAAACATTTCTTCGTTGGAATAGTCCATCCTCTTCACGTTTTATGGTGCTAGTAAAATGATCTTCACATATTTTTTTGTTTGTCTATGTTCCAAAATGTTTCTATTTCTTGGTCAATGGAATCAACTGACGAATGACAAACTCTATTAACAACAGCGAATGGTGCTGTGAAAGATTATGTTCCCGAAATTATCCAACCTAACTTTTTCTGTTGCTTAATAGGATGATTTGAGGGAGATATATTTGTTCGACTCATAACAAGTCATAAAATACTATAGAGTAACATAACGATAGGACCTGGTCTGTTGAATGAAGACTCAGCCAATTATCTGATAGTGTTAATTTATTCATGCTAAATTTGTTCATTGGCATATTCTCATATATTTTATCAAGAACTAAAGATGACGTTTTGAGCATGAGAGCATTAAACTTTTATTTTATTGTACCTTCCGTTATGTAGGATGCATTTGTAGATGTTTGATTTATTCCAGCAATAGATTTTTATTTTTTGTGTTGGCTGTTATAAAATATTACACGTTCTAGGTGTTATAAAATCATTCATTGAACCATTATCAAGCAGAACCCTTAACTGATGTGTTTTGTTGAATTTATGAATTCCATATACTTAAGCAGTTGAGAGCAATATTTCAGATCTTTAGATAGCATGGTGAATTCATTCATGCTATATTTGTTGATTAGCATATTTTCATCTATTTCATCAAGAACTGAAGATGACGTTTTGAGCTTGAAAGCATTAATCTTCGATTTAATTGTACCTTCCGTTATGTAGGATGCATTTGCAGATGTTTGATTTATTTCAGCCATGGATTTTAATTTTTTGTGTTTGTTGTTATAAAATATTACACGTTTCAGGTGTTATAAAATTCTCCATTTAACCATTATAAAGCAGAACCCTCAACTGATGTGTTTAGTTGGGTTTATTAATTCTATATAGTGAAGCAGTTGAGAGCAATATTTCAGGAATTTGGTTCTTGACTCTGATGTTGAAGTTGATTGAAAAGTATTTGATTGTATACTTGTTTGATTGTTGATTGGTACTTGTTCAATTTGACTAACTTGGTTATTGACATGTTTTTCTGCGATAATATCTGAATGAATTTTTTACCATGCGATTTAAAACAAGTTACGTAACAATCCAATCTTCATTGAAATGGTTGAAACGGATAAATTTTACACATAACTTCAAATATTTAACTTTATTCATCAGTTCGGCTGGTAACTTGGGAAATTCGTCCCATTTATACAAAAAATACGCCTCTTAACAAAAAGGACAGATTGATGGCTGCTTTGTTGTAATAATTCAATGAGAATCTTGCACGTTTTTGTAACGTAATATGTAACTATAATCTGTAGAGTTACCATTGAATTCACTTGGATTTGAGTAGTTGACAGCGTTGTGAAAAAAAATCATATGTCTTGCATGGTTGGCTATTTATACGTTATTAGGGTTTTTTCCCACTTCATTTTGGTACTTGAATTGAATTATTTCAATTGTTGATTTGAAATGATGAATGTTTTTGCTATTAAAATTACTCCATAACATAAGTTTCCAGCAATAGCCCTTTCTTAACCATGTTATTCGGTTTCATCAATAACCCCAATTCCAGATTATATAGCGTCAATAATATTCCACTAAACCTCACATTTCTTCTATCCTTCAGGAATTACGCGATTTTAATCATTTATTTGCGTAGTGAAAGATTGAAATCACGTGAGTTTCCCCTTGATAATACCCCATCTACTTCTTAACGCCGTAAGCGTTTTCACGGTAACAGTGTAAAAAAACTAAAATTGTTAAATATATTTTTTCAGGGTTATCAAATCGATTTATATTATATTAGACAATAGAAGTCCGAACTGATGAAATACAGTAAGTCTTGCTAGTCGGTTTATGTGTTACTTCTTTCTTCTCAATATCCGGCTCGAAAGACATGTACATTTTTGTTGTATGTGTTTTCTCGTACGTTGATAACTCATTCAATGAAATGCTGGTTGATTGTATGAAGTATATTGACTGATAATTACAAAAATGCAATTATATGTAATATGACTATGTGGCAATGTACAACATGATAATAATCTCATGTTGTTATTTTTTAGCGATGATAGATACTCATGAAAAATGTATAGTTAATCTAGACAATTTTAATTAAAACATCGAGAAAGTAATACAAATCATGAAATTATGAAATACCACCAAAAATTAATTGGCGCTCCAGGGCGACTTCATTGATTCCAGTGGCGTATTTGCATTTTCAGCTGGAGGAAAACCCTGAAAAACCTGCAGCAAAATTATATTGTTCTTGTGAAAATCTATCATGGTGTGTTCGTCTTTGGTAATGAGTTGATGAAATACTTATTCATTTCATAAATACTATTTTTCTTGATTAACAATGAACAGATCATTAGAAATGACTGTTTTTTCTATGAATAATATTATTATCCGGCAGAAATTTCCATCTATCGATACCACTAACAACTGGTGAAAAACTGATTTTAAAATTCTTGGTTAACATAATTTTTCAAGTCTTTATAAAACTGTGAGTGTCTTGATTTAGTGCACATCATATCTTTTATAGTATCCGTCTGCCCTTCATTAACAAATGGTGCATGTCGATCAATGAGTGATTACATTATTCTTACTACAGGACCTCAGGAAACCTTCTCGTTCATGAAATAATCATATTTTCGTAATACTGGCACTACTACTAATTTCGCAGGGTAATTTCATATTATCATACACTGAAGAGCAAACAATTATATTAGGATGACAATCGACTCTATCACTTCCCATTTTTATTGAGTGTCAGGAGGATCATAAGGGGAGTAATATGAGTAAGATACTCAATAAAATTATATTTTCCAGATCGAAAATATTCAAGGCAAAAAAATTAATTAATATCATCATTGGGAAGTTCGAGTACGTTCACATTCGAATCATCAGTACTTATCATTCCATTAGACTGAATCAGATTGCATCAGATTGAATCGTTAGAAAATATTTTGAAATTATTTAAAGGTGGTCTATATTGAATAGAAAAAGTTACTACAATTTTTTCGTCCTCTCAACTGGACAATTGCTCTGTTTCTGTAGTAGGACAGTCATTCATAATAAAATCCTATAGGGATTGTATGACATTCCTGAATAAATCATATGGTTCAAATGGCTATATCCAAGCAACACCCAATTGTGAGATTTACACAAAACAACAAACAGTGTTTCATGAAGCGTTTTCATACAGTAAGAAAACGTTGATGGAGCTATTGTATATCGGAACATGTTTTGCAGTTTTGTAAACTGTCCAATGAAAATCTCTCTATAAAGGGTTACTTGAAAGAATCATGGATTTTCATCAAGTATCCGCTAATTCCATAACATGATTCAGTTGAATATTCCATCAGTCAATCACCTTCCACAGAATGAACAAATGTTTAATCATTTATCCCTAAGTATGAATAATTTCCCCTACTAAAAGTAACAGCGACCTAATATTCAAATTGGAGATATGCAATGACATTTGAAGCCAAAATGAATTCAATCTTTCAGTTGGATCAGAATTATTAGAATGTACTGTAATAAAAAAAAATACCTGATGAAAATAGGGACCTTAGTTTTTCGAGATGGCCCAAAGAAATGAAAATGTGTTTCAGATCATGACTATTTCAATGATAGCAATAACTATCATTAATACATTTCCAAAAAAGTGATAATTATGATAAAAAAACCTTTGAAATAACCTTATCTCTTCCGAAAATATTCAATAGCTTTCAGGTCAGTAATACTTCACTCATTTTTATATTTACAAAAAATGTTTCGACATATGTGACCAGACTCCCATTACGGCCGACTTCGATGATAACAGCTTTCATCAGTTCGAATTAGACTGGACTATCGATATTATCCAGGACACTTAGTTGATATGTGACATTCGTTCAACAAATTTATTTATTTTACTTTTTGGCATTCTGTTTCTCCATCATCGAATAAAAATTCCTTTGGGAATTTCCCAAATTTTTCATTTGATAATGGAGAAGTGGAAATACATAAAAGTGTTTTTCCGAAAAATCTCTCCTGAAAATATCACTTTTTCAATTGAATATTTCCTACTGCCAAAGTATGAATTTCGGTGAACGAGAGTGCATGAATATTTTTTTTAAATTTCGATCAATTGTTGTGATGAGTCCGAACAACGTTATGTCAAACAGATAAGTTTATGATATTTCAAATCTAGCGAAATAATGGAATTCTTTTGTGAAAGAGGATGGTACATTCTTGAAGATGGAATTTGAATGTCGCAGCTCATCGGAGAGGGATGCTGGTAAAAGTTTGAATATATCTACCCTGCAACCGATTTACCGGCAAATGAATGGATTTGTGAAGATTTTGATGTTAATTATTGATAGCCCCAGTAAAATATATATGAATATAGATAAAGGCAAATTTGAAGAGACATCCGGATGAAAGGAGAGGACAAATACATGCACCAAGACGTTCTAACCCTATGAAAGAACAAACAGGAAGATAAAATGGTCAGTTTGAGTAGAGCCATGAAGGTAGCACAGCCTGCTATTGAAAGCGCTCGCATATGATAATTGAAAAATGAATAGATGAGTACTTTTTGATCATTCCCATATTGATTTCAATTTAAGAGCCACCGGTATACAGCTGTTTCAGCCTATTGGGCATC